AAGGGGCCTCCTGTTTGTCTAGGTCTAGGACCTCCTATTTGTCCAGGGGGCCTCCTATTTTTGCAGGAGGTCTCCTACTTGTCCATGGGGCCTCCTATTTGTTCAGGGGGCTTCTTTTTTGTACAGAGGGCCTCGAATTTGTCCATGGGGCCTACTATTTGTCTAGGGGCCTCTTATTTGTCTAGGGCCTCCTATTTGTCCAGGAGGCCTCCTGATTGTCCAGAGAGTATCCTATTTCTCCAGGGGGCCTCCTGTTTTCCGGGGGCCTCCTACTTGTTCAGGGGGCCTCCTACTTGTTCAGGGGGCCTCCTATTTGTCCAACAGGGCCTCCGATTTGTCCAAGGGGCCTCCTATTTAAACTGAGAACCTTTTATATGAACATCGGACCTCCGTTTGCAAAGTAGCTGGTGCGTCTCGGGGGGCCTCCACTATTGGGGTCCCAAAATGACAATTGGGGTCCCAAATGTTGGCATTGGGGTCCCACATGGGACCTCGAAAGTATACAAAGTTACACCCATGATCAAACGGATTAAAATGGCTAATAATGTGCCAGAGGAGGCCACAAGGAAATGGGAAGCAATCAGATATCCGGCACCTAACAGACATGCAGCTCATCGAGCTCCCACGGACAAGGATGAGTTCAAACGATTAGAGTACATACAGCCCTAGCCAGCCAAGAACGCGACAAAATTACCCGAGTTCTGTGCAAATGCGGACTAGTAGCGACGGAACACCTTCAATTTAGGGGGGGGGGCACTGCCGACCTTTGGTCCCATTCTTTCCATGCAACGCCCATATATGCAGCACAGCCATATGGAAGCATCTGATCGGAAGAAAGACATAACCTGAACCCTGCTCCTTTGGTGAGTAGGGTAGGGTGGGGTAATTTGAACATGCGGGGCAATTTGAACATAGTGTAAATAACACAAAATTACGGAAAATCCATAAGTGGCATGACAATAAGACCAATGAGAGAAATTATCGTAACTAAAAGGGCTATCATATGAACGGGGTTTCAAGTTTCGGGGAATGAAGATGTTGACGCACAGTGTAAAAAATCAATTTCGCAAGGATAAACGCCTAACGACACGTCATTGCAACTTCATTGCAACGCAAAATCTTGCATTGCTAGCGCCTAACACGCAACGGCTTTTGTTGTACAACGACCTACTCAGTGCCTTCAATCTAAGAAATTTGCTTTTCAACCCTGTTTTTAAAAATGGCATAATAACTTTTAGCGTGGGGTAATTTGAACATAGTGTGAGAACTTCAATGAAGACAGGGATAGCTCCGAAAAAACAACGCCCCCAGTTTTTTTTTGCCAATATTTTCGACCCAAAGCAGTAGCAGATAAGAGATGCCATTTTTAGAAAATTTACATCTTATATTCGTCTAATGTTCGGTATTTTCGTTGATTTTCCGTCCAAAAAATGTTAAAGTCAACTATTTGTCCAAATATGTCCGAAAATTATGCAGCTATAAACACTTAAAACCGTCATTTATATTGCTTATCATGTAATTATACCAGCCAAAAAGTGTTCATTATATTGAGAGCAACAAGCTTTCCATTCGCCAATCAATGCTACGCGCGATTACTTGATAAAAATGCTTAAGTGTGGCAGGCCATCGTCCAATGTTGTCCATACTACTATACCTTTGTGCAATCAATTCCGAATTGGACATTATAAAGAATCGGAATTCCGAATGTCCAGGTTCCGATTGGCACCACTATAACAGATGAAGTAAGGTTTGGTAGAGTTTTTATTGAACGGAGATGATAGACGTTCTGTTAATTGAAGAGAGGCGAATTCTGTCAACTGACCGGTGTGCAGCGTGCAGATATTGATACTCTGCAACTGACTTATTTTTGTTGTTGTGTTGATTTTTCAAATGAAGATATGTTTAGAATTGCTCTACCTATTCGTTTATGGGTCAAACAACATCGGTGCTGGCGAGACTATCGTTTTTATGGCAGGTAAAGGCAGTATGTTCAAATTACCACACGGTGGGGCAATTTGAACACACCGTGACTTGGTGGTGAAGTGATGCTATGTTATTCAAGGTATGCTCGGCTCGTCCAAAAATGAGGCTTGCATGGTAAAAGCAAGTGACACATGCGCTACTGAAACAGTTTTTCTTCATCCAGGGTTGAGCTGGAATTTGGTACAACGGAGAAGACGTAAAAATATGTTCAAATTACCCCACACTACCCTATACCCGAAGGTTGTTTCTTCATTAGACAAACACTATTCTTTAGAATTGTGTTTTTCTATTGAAAAACAAACTGAGGGTGTTTCCATTTCGGGATAGGATTCGTGTTTGGTGCAGCGAATTGGGGCACCTTGCACCGTTTGCACACGAACCGATAGATTTTGATTAAATTTTCAGGGCAGCTGCCCCCACAGATTATCTACCACGAAACACCCTCAGCTAAGAATATAATTATTTTTCTTGCACGTGGCACGTGCACGTGTTTTAGGCCCATAGGCTTCAACATTAGGTGGATTTTCGGCATCGCATTTCTCGCAGACGGGTGCTTGTAATGCGATGGGCTTCTATGTGCTGGGTGGCCGCCCCGGCATCTACCATGAGCCGGCGGCGCCGTTTCGGGCAGCTTCGGGAAGGGGGTGCAAATTGCACGTGCCATTGGTTTAACGTTACGAAATGGGCCAAAATGGGTTTTCTCGATTTGCTCAAAATCGGCTCGATAGATTTTCTTTGTTTTTTGAGTACCGGTAGTCGGTCAGTCGGTTCGTTCGTCAATGTCAATCGCTTGAAATATAATTAACTTTTTTGCACGTGGCACGCGCACAAATTTCCACGTCTTAAGTCAATGGGATTTCTTGAAAAAATTACTTAAATCGATTTTGCTCAAAATTTCCACGTTAGATGTTAAAAATGTTTCAGTATGATATGCACCCACATGTCGCCTACCAGGTGGAATAGGCCATATATGGGGCGATTGAAATGCACGTGCACGCCCCGCACTTGTTTAAGGGGACCACCTCCGTGAAAATTTGATCACTGCTGGTATGATGGCCTGTGCCGCGCAAACAATGCGTGCCAGCGGAACCAATCGAGGTCAGTCGTCAAGGGGATGCTCTAGGATAGTTGTACACCTCATCACGTGGTGCACGTGTTTTCGCACGTGCGCCACGTGGGTGTAGCATTTTGGGATAGGTAGTCATTGGTGCATAATTATGCTCAGGTGATAACCTCACTGCATGGGTTTGAGCCAGAGTTCCAAGTCGGTTGCGATAATGACCATTGGTGTTGGGTCTACTACGTGTCAAACACGTGGCCGCCCGGGGTTCTCCATTCCGGAGATATTTTGACCGATAGTGAGGTAAGCCCTAAGTTAAAGATTGGCCAAGTTTGATCGGCCGCTGGGAGACAATGGTGGCGCACCCGAAAGTCTACCCATGGGCACTGACGACCCCTTTCATCTGGTACAAAAGGATGGTCGCTTTATGTCTTTAGGCCACACGTGGCACGTGGCACCCCACCTCGAGTGACCATGTGCACTCTCAATGTAAGACGTTTTGGCCATAACTTTGCCATTTATGGGCCGATTTCGATGAAAATTGCAACATTGATGCATTAAAATGACCTGTGCCACAAACGGCGCTACGAATACAACAAACTCATGTGCGTCGTTTTTGTCTCTAGTGCGCCACTTAAGCTACAGTGGCTAAAGTCGAGGAATATTGCGCGTATTTATTTCAACGGGCCGATTTCGTCGAAACTTGCAACGGTAGTGCACGAAACTAGGCAGTGACACATATGAAGCGAGACAAAAATAGGCTGTTGTGCGCCATTTTTGTCTTAAGTGCGCCATTAACTGCCTAAAGTGGCTATAACCTAAGAATCTCATCATTTTCATGCATTAATAAATTACTGTGAGGTATGCATGTAACGTCTGGCGCCACTTTGGTCTTAATTGCGTTAGCGTTTCGGGCGTGTGAGTTGCGCGTTTTGCGGTGTTTGCGTTTTGCGGCGGGCGGGTGTTTTGTGTTTTTTGCGGTATTTGTTTGACGGCGGGCGGACAGGCGATGCGGGTGTTTTTTGCGTCTTTTTCGGTGTTAAGTTTTTTTCGGTTTCCGGCGGCCTGGCGCTTTTTGCGGTGTTTGCGTTTGGCAGCGGGCGGGCGATTTTTTCGACGTTTGCTTTGGCGTTTCGGACGTGCGTTTTGCGCGTTTTGTGGTGTTTGCGTTTTGCGGCGGGCGGGCGGGCGTTTTGTGTTTGGCGGCGGGCGTGCGGGCGATGCGGGCGGTTTTCTTTTTTGCGTCGTTTGCGGTGTTCAATTTGTTGGCGGTTGGCGGCGGTTGGGCGCTTTTTAGGCGTTTTCGGTTGGCGGTTAGCGTGCGTGCGATGCAGGCGGTTTTATTTTTTGCGGCGTTTTTGCGTTTTTTTTTTTGCAGTTTGCGGCGGGCGGGCATTTATTTGTGTTTTTTCTTCTTGCGACATTTGCGTAGGCGTTTCCGGCGTGCGTTTTGCGCGTTTTGCGGTGTTTGCGTTTCGCGGCGGGCGGGCGTTTTTCACAATTCAAAACCCCAACCTTCGGGCCGCAGCGCTGCTCGAAAAGCGCTGCCCTCGAGTATGATAGGGCTAATGTTAGAATGCCAAAATCAAAGGTGGGCACGGTGCCCCGGTGCCCTCCCCGTTCCGCCGCCTATGATGCGGACGCGGTAAGCGGCGGCCGGGGCGCTGGCCGCCGCGACGGTGAAACGACTGGAGTGGTAGGCTGTGCCGCCGCACAAGTACGCTATGCGGGACAGTATACCTTCCAGTGACGGGCTGAATTGCCGCTTGCGGGCGCCGCCGTTGGAAGGCTATGTATTATGAATATACGATAAACAGATCATACATTTTTTTTCAAATATGAGTCTGTTTTATATGTTTATCTCTTTTTATGATTTTTGTCTATATGCTCCCACAAAGGCGCAAACATAAGCCCAGACTACGCACTGGCAGAGGGGTTTGTCCAAAAGTCCACGTACCGACACAGGGATTAGCCCAGAGGAGGCGCTCCCAGTCGTGGCAGCTGTGCTGGCCGGGCGTGGAGCCGGCCGCCGGCGCGTCGTGGCAGCCGCAGTGGCTGTGCAGCTCGGTACCGAGCACGGCCAGCAGCGCGCTCCGGCAGTGCTCGCTGGGGCCGGCGCAGCGGGCCGTCACCACGTCCACGGCGCACGCCTGCTCGTAGCGCTCGAGCCGCGGCCGGCAGCGGCCGTCCCACTGGCGGCGGCAGTGGCGCGCCACCCGCAGACACGACGGCAGCCGGCCGCCCTCCGGCTGGCTGGCGCACGCCGGGTGCAGCCGCTGCATGGCCGCCACGCAGCCCGACTCGCCCGCGTCCCTCCGGCTGCGAAACACGAGTATGAATTTTTATGTTATCACGTTAAATGAGGCCAATTGTACTAGGCGGTAATTTATTGCAAAACTTGGTAAAAAATGCGATTGTTTTAGTAGCATACACACAAGCCAAAAATATACTTTTGGGGAAGTGCATGCCACTGACGGGCTCGCAACACATCTAAGGGGAGTCATTACGTGAATTAGCTAAATCTCACCGGCAGACGCAGAGTGCGGCGTCCATGACGAGCACGCTGTCTGACTGGTCGTAGAACTCCTGCATGTGCTTCATACACTGCTGGCGGTGGCACGAGTCGGCCACGCAGCTGTTCAACATGGGCTCCAGCAGGAGGCGGCAGCGGCGGTCCCGGCGGCAGTTGGCCAGCGCCGTGTGACAGGACGACTGCAGCACGGGCTCGGCCGACTCCAGGTCGACCGAACTGACAGTCACCAGATCAACTGAGAGAGAAACCACCAAATTAGACCACAGAAATTAAAAGTGCCAAAAGAGATGACTCCTAGATAAAGGGCGAATTTAATCTGGATTCACATTTTTTTTTTGCAAGTCAGCTTTAAATAACATAATTAGTACTGAATGATTAATGGAAAATCATGCAATACTTACCTTTGGTTGTCTCCGGCAGCTTTGGTGGGGCGAAGGGATTCTCTGGCTCCTCGTCTTCATCGGGCCCATAGAGGGTCCTTACGATGTCGGATGACCGGGGTCGCTGTGAGGTCACCTCGTACAGCGGAGCCACGAGGTGATGTTCAGCTAGTGGTCGGGTGACCTCGTCCCCTCCCAGACCGCTCACTGTAACAACAGTCCGTGAGGACACACCGGTATAGCGCGCGCCGGGAGACGGAGCGCGGGAGGTGCGGACTGGAGTGCGGGGTGCGGGGTGTGCGGGGGTGGCCGGTGCTGGGAGGTGCTGGTAGGAGGTGCTGGCCGGTGCTGGGTGGTGCTGAAAGGAGGTGCTGGCCGGTGCCGGGAGGTGCAGCAGGTGGTGCAGCGGTGAGTGCGTGCGGTGCTCGCCACCAGAACCGGTGTCGGCACCGTGCTCGTGCGCCCAGTCTGAAAGGAACAGCGATAAATATCAATACAAAACATTTTATTTAAGATATGACAAAAAACTGGCAACTAAAATACTAAGCAGAGTTCTAGCAATGCCACAGCGAACAGGCTAGGTGCAGCAATTGATCTATGTGCCAGCAATTGCCTTCAGCATTGCGTTTATGGCTTTTACTAGCTGAGCGAAAATGGGAAAGCGAATGCCTGTGGAGCGTACCAAGCCTGTATTTTTATTGCAAATTAAACATTTTATCAACTAAAGACAACATATTTGTTGAAAATCTTATGTGATAAGTTAAGAGCTGTTTTATTATCTTTTCAAAGATACCAGAAAACGTAATTAGCAACGCTTGCGAAGAACATTGTTTATCGTGCATTTGTATAAACAATATTCCATAGATAACAGTAGAACAGTTCTATTGTTATCTATGAATACACATTATGCATACCTGTGCAGAGAACAGGGCAAAATGTACACGCATTTAGGCATATGTCACGCCATCACGATATAAGGTGATGGAGGTCTATGGGTGATGACATTGTCACACAGTGCAACAAAAATAGTCTCAGGGCTGCAATAAATGTGAAAACAGCTACTTACCAATGCAGGGATTTTTGTGTACCTTCTCATAGATATTCTCACAACTTTCTTCCTGAACGTTTGTGCACATACATCCGAAAACGGGGCTCATTTTCAGCTGGTTCCAGGCGTCCAGACATGCAGAGCTGAAATGAACGGATTAAGTAATTAAAGTTCTCAAAGTAAATCAACGTCACTCGATACGCGAGTGCAACGTTTTACATGTTGTTAACATGCTTGTGTTGTTACGTCACACATTCTTATTGCATCGAGTTGTGATTCTCGTAAAGTGAAAGGAAGATATATACATTATTCGTGTGTCGATTTTTTCACAGAAAGCCATGGGGAAGGGGCAGAGCTGGATTTATTGTTTTAGAGCCTACCGACACAATCTTAAAGGTAGGTATCGTATTGTGTTCTGCAAAAAAAGACTAAAAATCCCCAAGAGCTCGTGTGCCATTTATTGATTGTTGATAACGATTAAGGTTATTCATATACTGTAATGCATGTTTTAGTGATTAGGAACGAGACACGGACAGGAGGCAGCGATCTGAGCCGACCCTATTTTGACTGCTCTGTTCCATCTAGGACCATATCAGAGTGCAGCCGCCGCAGATATAATTGGATAAGCATTCGAAGTTATCCGACACCCTGACACTAACACTTGCACACAGCCAGTCTACAACCTTATAGGTAATAGCTGCAACTTGAGCAACGGTGGATTTCCTGTAACCAAACATGGCCGGGACACCGCCACTTTGAAAACCATGAACTGCATAATAAGATCAGTCTGCCATGGTCAGTCCCAATTCCCCAGCTGACAGATTTCACTGTATTTAACTATGAAATACCTAAGCGTGTTTCACCTGCCTCCATGCCCAATTTCAGTCCCTGCGAGTTCTAAGCTCCCTGCCTTTTCGCCATTTGCTCGAAATTTTCGCCATCTGAGTTCCTGTGTTCGCTGTCGGTCGGTGGTGTGTTTTTTCCATGTGCCGGACCGGATCTCGTGCCGACCACCATTTCAGTCAGGCTGCCGATATGGTCCGCTGCGGCGGCGGGGGGGGGGGGGCAGGGGGGCGGTGCCGCCCGCCGACTGGTACGACGACCGTCAGCGGCGACAGGCGGGGCCGCCCGCCCCGCCCCCGCCCCCTCCCCCGCCTCCGCCAGGGAACCACACACGATCTTGGTGATTAACACCGTGTCGGCAGTCGTCAGAAATGCCACACCGACGCGTAGCTGACCAGCCACCAGCGACCAGCGACTAGTGACCAGTGACCAGTGACCGTTCCACGCTGACTGCAGGCTACTGACGGTCAACTAATGACCGTCAGTGACCACAAGATGCACGTATATGACGTAGAATATACCATCAGCTGCCAGTTAACACCACCAGCAGATCGTACTAAGAAATCCCTGTTAGATAAGACCACTGTCATCCTTCCACCTGTCAGGCGGACAGCCGTCACGGACGTCGGGTGACGTGTCGCAAAGCCGCGCCACCCAGGAGCAGCGTGTCAGCTTTTCAGCCTAGCTCGGCACAAATCTGGTCCAAATGAGCCGACAAATTGGCCTCCCCAGGGGCAAGACGTCACCGATTCGCCAGCGAACGCTAGTCTATATTAATGGTGGTCCCGTAGGCGCTATTGACACGGGAGGGTGAGCACCCGCCAGTGCCGGCGGGGATTCACTAGGGAGGTGTTTGAACTACGATCGACGTGCTATGCGCTACCAGGTATATGTCCTTGGTACGGCAGCCGGGGAGCACGTCATACTGCTAGGAGCCGCGCGCTTGCGTATGGCGCATAAAGAGGTCTTTATATAATTTGAATAACCTTGCTACAGTAGCTTGTAATAGTAGCAGTGCAGTAGCTGTAGCTTGTAATTATCTTAGCCGGTCAGCTGATTACAACTCGTATTAAATCCCTCGGATATCATGCATTTGATACTCTTATATCTCGAGTGCATTTTGCACAATTACCAGTTCCCTTTGTTACATCAGTGTCCGCGTTCTCTGCCGGTCCCTTACCTGTTTGCCTGTTAGCACCAGCACATTATCTGTTTGTCTATCAGCCTCCTACATATCCATCAGTAGATTTCTTACCTGTGACTCTTAGCACCAGCACATTATCTGTTTGTCTATCAGCCTCCTATCTATCCATCCATCAGTAGATTTCTTACCTGTGCGACTCTTAGCACCAGCACATTATCTGTTCGTCTATCAGCCTCCCATCTATCCATTAGTAGATTTCTTACCTGTGCGACTCTTAGCACCAGCACATTATCTGTTTGTCTATGAGCCTCCTATCTATCCATCAGTAGATTTCTTACTTGTTTGCCTGTTAGCACCAGCACATTATCTGTTTGTCTATCAGCCTCCTATCTATCAATCAGTAGAGTTCGTACCTGTTCGTCATGTGGCACTCGTCCAGCTCAAACGGACACGCCTTCAGGTAGTTGTCATACAGGGGCACGCACTGCTCCTGGTTTCGACAGGCGTCCAGGGCGTAGTCGCAGGTCGGCAGGGCGTGCACCGGGTACGGGTCGTTATCTGAAAAGAAAACACTTTTTACAATCCTTTTTTAGCACTCACACACTTGTAATCCTTACCTACAACGAAATCCGAGCGAAAGGCATCCATAAGAGCAGCAAGTAGCGCAAAGGCCATTATAATAGTCGCTTAACTTCTTGATCAGATATTGCATTTGATGATTGGCTAAAGGCTGTCACGAAGCGTCTTTGTGGGTCCCATTGGACTTCCATTTGAGGCATAAATTATCATTTATATCATTTAGCCATTGCAACGAGGACATAGCTTCCCTTGGACACTCACTTCCGTCATTACATGGGTCGTAAAGATGCAATATTTCACATACCCTGACTGCGCATTCCGAAGCAGGGGTGGTCGAACACCAGGTTGCGGTAGGTGTTACACTCGGGGTCGACGCGCTGCTCCTTGCACAGACACGTGGGCTGGAAGAACTGGAATGCCACCAGTGTCCTCAGAGCCGCCCGACACTTAGTCACCGTCACCGTCGAGCACGACACTGAAATGGAACGGTACACGTTTGTGAAGCATGCCCTTTGAAGTTTATGTCCATTATAGTAACGGCACTGAAACGGAATAGCCGAGACAATAGTCATCAGCGGTGATCAACATAGAACGAGATATAGACGAAGGCAAAAACAGAGACAAAGGCAGAAACGAATACAAAGACAGAACCGATTGAGAAGGAGATGAAGGAAAAGCCGTAAAAGTTAAGAACCTCTTTGGTGCTTACCACTCAGCTTCCAGCAGCCGCAGTTGCAACCAGCTGTATGTGTTTCGTGATTTCCCATCGATTTCCTACCAAAAGGTGCCTATTTCTTGCCTAGCTCCTGTTCACAGAGAGTCATTTTCTCACCTAAACGACTCTCCCGTCCGCAGAGAGTCGTTTTCTCACCTAGCTCCTGTCCGCAGAGTCGCGGGATAATGGCCGTGATGGAATGGCAGACGCGGTCCTTCTCACACAACTCTCTCGCCAGCTTGCAGTTGATGGTCGTCGACGCCGTTCGGATGCTGATCACTGCAAAACAGCAGGCAGCCCGACTCAACAGCGAGCTCAAACACAATGTTTGATCGGACCAATTCCAACTCGGCATGTTCATCGGGAAAGTTTTGCCTACGGCGAGAGGTGCTTAATTGAAGGAAGTTCGCCTGCAAAGTTTTGACATGATCAAGGTGAGATGACAAGGTAGCAAAGGACGAGGATGCTATCAACTAAATTAACAAAAAAATTAAGCTCATTTCGAAAGCCATTCCTAAGAATAATGCACTTAATAACGTTGATTTCATTTTATTTGTTTCATTGTCCTTTCCAAAATGCATAAAAAAAGCGCGAGGCGTGCATGGCACGAAGAATGAATGCCCAGGTGTCGTGACCTCAGAAAGGTCTCACAGCTCTTAACGTCATGATTATTTCAGAAGTCCCTACAAAATTAAACTCCTGTAGAATTATTCAAAGGCACGACCAGCCGACGGTTAAGACGCCTCCAATGCACCTCGCCACGGATCTCCTTAAAGGTTATCTATCAAGAACTCCAATGGCTAAAGGTTGAGGTTAGGTCAGGTTTCAAAGATCACAGAACACAAAAACCGTACAGAGCATATTAAAGAAGCAACATTTGAATAAAATCAACGCAAACAGGTTGAAATGCTGACTCTTGGGGAATGAATTCTGAGGCACACATCAGAGTTACGCTGGCAGGTCATGGATTGTGTTCTAATCAAGTGTCATTGTATGCTTCAAAAAAAGGCGCATTTGTCTTCCTTATTGATACCACACATGCGATACGATCAATGGGTTCCGCAGCCGTACGATGATCGGGGTGAGCTGGGAATGTAAACAGTCGTAAATGACCTGCCGTCACGGCCCATAACGGTCCTTGTGAAGGACGGGCTGAGAGTCCAGTTGGGGCTTGCTCTGCAATTCGTCACTTCCGACGTGGTGTCGCTCACCGGCCCCGTGGATCTGATGGGTCTGACCTGTGTCCACCTATGGGTTCGACGACCAATGCTTTCGACATTCGACAGCATAGAAGATTAACGAATATGTTGATAATATCGAAGAATATAATGATAGGCAATGCGTGGCCATTTTACCTAAGTGGCAAACAACTACCTTGTATGATAAAATAATGTTCTTTAAAAAGGTTATATACTTGAATTGCAAATAACACAAAAGTAGGCAAATTGGTTTATCATTAATTGGGTTGATGTAAAAATTCTAGTCCATGTCCCATCTTTGCTAAGCCCATCCGCAGAGTCAGCAGACCGCACTCAGCCGTCACGAGTGAACATAATTACGGCAAACCAAGATAGCTCTCCTCACCCTTCATCCATTCACGGCCGACCGCCTCTCTCCACTCGAGATAAGCGCCCACCGCGCGCCCGGCTCCCCCAGTTGGCTTTCAGCGGCCTCATATGCCCAAATGAGGCCGGCGGGCTTGGCGCCGCAGCCATCGGACAACGCGGCGCCGCCACACGAAGTGCGCCGACCGGCCCCGATGAGCCACTATGGAGGCAGACCGTGTGTCTGGCGGCCGACGAAAGGCCGTCGTGAGCCGGCGCCCGCCACTGGTGTGAAATACTCCTTCAGTGGCCATCCATCGCTGCCGCGGCCTCAGCAGTGATCCTTCCCGCGCCCAGCCGCCGCGTTAACTTACAAACTTGTGAGGTTACTTGGCATCTAGCCAGTTACACGCGGCAGCACGGCTTGAGGAAGAGTTGGCTATAAACAAGTGCTAACAACAGTCATCGGTTCTTGTTTCAGGTCAGAATTCTGAATTATAAAAAGTTTAATGAAATGTGAAATTCCAATGTGAAGTGAAGTAACGCTAGTTGACACTAACTTGCTAGACCTCTGGGGCTTTACCAGGCATTACCGGTGGGCACCGCCCCAGTTCCAGTGGCACTGACCGGTCAGGTTGCCGCCAGCCGCCGCCGCCGCCCACACTCGGTCAGTAAGCATCTCACGCCACAATGAAAAACCCCGTACGCCCCCTTCCTCGCGGCCATGTATGCGCCGTTGTCTGTGCCCTGCATGGCAATACGGGGGTGACGCCGCTCAGATTATTGGTTGGCTGTAATTGCTGCGGGCGGCGGCGTACGGACGGCCCGGCGACCAGCACCCCACCGGCAGCCGGCACATAGGCCAGTTACCCCGAGCCGAGCGTATTCAGAAGGTGCTCACTCATTCACACCTCCCTCTCCAGGGAAACAGCCGGGAAAATTGTCTTGAAAGCAAATACATGCTGGCACCACCGTTCGATAAGCAGGCTTACGATAATGATACCTTCTCGGGAAAGAAAACAACCATTAAAATGCGGGGCAGCCGTACAACCAACGAGACTGGAAAACCAACGTTCAGCTAAGAAACCAGCTCGCACCATAAATTACAAACCAAATGCACCAGTTTCGATCAGAGCCTAATGAACTGTAGGCGAATGTCAGGTGACCACCGCTAAGTATGGCTGGCCGTTTGGTGTCCGGCTGTTATGCGTCGGTTTCCGTTAACTGGGCGGTCGGGCGGCACGGTTCCGTGCGCTCGATATCGGCTCAGCGCGTGATGGGAGTTCCAACGGGGACAGGGGCGCTGAGCCGCCGGGACTCGCGACAGGGCCAGACACAGGGAGGAAGGGAAGGAAGGGGTGAGGGACGGGGGGAGAGAGAGAGAGAGAGAGAGAGAGAGAGAGAGAGAGAGAGAGAGAGAGAGAGAGAGAGAGAGAGGGAGAGAGAGGGAGAGAAGCGAAGGAGGAGGAGAAAACGAGAGGGAAAGAACAGCATCTCCGTGGTGTTACCAGGAAATGTCAGCGAAGCTTCACGACCACACGAGGTCAAAAATTCATAAACACATCTGAAGTTACCTACAGTCAGGGAAGCTCAGCCCAGACCGTAGCCAAGCCATTTGAAAGTTGGGTGTGACATTACGATATCAAATATGAGGCACGGTATCAAACCTATGTAGTGTTTATACCAAGTTGCTGTGAGCCGCCGAGCTGAAGGTGGTGTCACTTCTGGTCACCTGTTCAATGTTCATGGGTACCGGTGCATAAACCGTAGCGAGCTGGGACAAAATCGAAATAACTGTAACAGACCATAATGCACCACAGTGAGGTACTATTGCTTCCAAATTAAGCTTGATTCGCGCCTGGCTCTAGTACTGCATTGAATACCCTCCCGAACCCCTCCCGTATCGCCAGGGTAGCTGTCCCGGTGAGGTGAGAGTCAGACTGAAGCAGTGCGTGGACCTTGTGACTGTCAGTCCGCGCCTGGGGCAGGGACACGGGAATGACCTGTGATAATGGCGGGCACGTGAGCGTGACGCAAAGCTGGGTCACATTCTATCCAATCAGGGATGATGAGAGCGCCACAGTGCAGTGGTCAGGCCGATGATTGGGTGGGGGAGCGCTGGATGGGCGTGTTACGGGTGAGAAAATATTTGGCACGCTTGGCAACTTGAGTGCTACACGGACTTATACGCTAAACCTTTTCACATTTTCTGAAGCAGGGAATCAATTTATGTCCTAGACGTCGCTGGCCGAGGAGAGTGCCTTCTCAGACATTATATTTTCCAATTGCACGAAGCAAGCAAACAATGTTTTTTTTTAGATTTTCGAGCTTTTTCGAATGCCGCTTACCACGTGTCGCATACGTGGGCGTGGCCTGCAGGAGCCGAGTTAGTGGGGGTGGGGGGGGGAGGGAGGTGGTTGTCGCCGAGCACCTGCTTGGCGCGGGTTAATAATTATCTGAAAATATTTATAATATATGTTCAGATTATATTGACCTTATTGTTTTAAATCATACTGTGCTTATGATTATTACACGCAATATTGAAACTAGCGCAGTCAAAGCACCCGCAGTAGAGCAGAAAACATTATCAGACATCGTGCAGGCCCGGGCCGGCGTCAGATCACTGCCCTCGCCTCACAGCGACTTCTGTTTCGGCCGCTGGTCTCGCCCGCCGGCCATATGTGCCCTTGACCTTTGACCTACGATGCGGGTCCTGGCTGAATTCCGTTCCGATCGCGCGTCCAGCTGCACCACGGTTGCGACCGCGCGGCCCGTCTCTCGCCGGGCGCTGCGCCCGAGTGCCGGGTCATGCCTCTGACGTCAGAGGCGCCCGAGGCCGAAATCGCCGAACGCTGACCGACCACAGGTCACGTCCGCACCCCTACCCGCGCGTTTGAAACTCCCGGATGACACACGGCCCCGGATGTCAAACCTCTGGTCTATCGCACGGCTCGCCGAGCCGGGTATCTCGGTAAAACTCGGTCTCCGGTAGGGTATTCACTACAGTACTGGAGCAAAGTGAGGATCAAGCTTAATTTGGAAGCAATAATACATTTAGAAACTGCAGGCAAATACATATGTAGGTTTTTTTTTAATGAATCCCTCCTAGCAGATACAGCTGATGACCCATACGCCGATTCCTGAAACTGGCACCGGCCACTGTCGCTCGCCACCCTGATAAGGTCTCCCCGCGTAGGGTTCGTGGCCCGTGTCGCTCTATACGGGCGCCGCCACCTCAGGTCGCAGCGCCCGGTCTGATCCTCACAACGCCATAAAACGCTGCCGCTGCTCTCCGAAAGCCCCCGGCCCATTGATCCAACCATTTGTGTTTGAAATCGGCGTCCGCCGGGACCGGTCAGTCCACGGAGGTGAGACTGCAGGCAGGGTCGGTCAGCTACAGAGGTAAAACTGCTAGAGGGACCGGTCCCAGTCCTCTGAGGTGAGATTCTATACCAGCTCGGCCAATCCACGGATCAGAGACCTTGGAAGCAGGACTGGTCAATTCATGGAGGTGAGACTACGGGCGGAATAATTGAGCCGAGGCGAGACTGAAGGCAGGACCGTTCAGTTCAGATATCCGGGACTGCATGCCCGATGGGTCATTCCACGAAGATGAGACTGCTGGCAATATTTCAGGCTGCTGTAAGGAGGCGAGATCACAAAGTCGATAGCCTGCAGCTTGAATTCATACTGATCGAAACTGGACAGCGTTTCGTGGTGGTGCTAAGCGCTCCA